ATTGATCATTGAGTTGATGTCTTCGTTTTTTCCTCTCTTTGATTTTGTAGACATGTCTTTCACATAGAACACCTGACTCACATCGGCAGCAAGGACGAATGGTTCCTCTTTGTACCTAATATTGTTGAGGTCCACTGTTGTCATTCCATACTCTTTGTCGACTGTTACCCCTCCTCCGGTCAGCTTCACCCATTGGCACCGGAACAAAGGGACTTTAAAATTAGGTGCGTAGTCTAGTTCCCATATCTCTTCTATGCGGCCATAATATGTTTGTATATTCCCATTTGGATCTGTGCCATCTATGCGAACACCACTATTTTGATTGATGCTCCTTTTATCTTGGGCAACTGTGTAAAATATATTCCCATTTATCTCGTACCCTTGGTACGTGAGGATATGCCATGATGGCTGCCTAGCCAACAAATACAATTGCTCATCAATATTGTCATCGCCTTGACATTCTTTTCGCAACCAACCACTGAAACTTTCCATGTGCTGACGCCTAATCCAAGCTTCAGTCTTCCGTGGAAACTTGGATCGTAAGAACTCCTTATGTATCTCGATGTACGGATGCACCAATGACGAGTTCTGAAGAATTGTGTAGTGTGCTTTATTGAAATAATCGTCTTCCATGCCGATATATGTTTTCTTCCCTAAAGTTCCTTTACCACTGAGTCTCCCCTCGTGTCGTGATTCAGGAACGCCAATCGGGGCAAGGTCAGGAATAAAGTCAACACAGAACTCAATGACCTCCTCTGTTCCATAGCCCTGGGCGATGCTTCCTTCAGGCTTAGAACGGACTTTCACATATTTCTTCAAGACTCCCATAAACCTCTCGAAGGGAAACATGTTATGTAAGAACACATGTCCAAGAATACTAATCTCCTTCACCAAATGAACTAGGATGTGTGTCATGATATTAAAGAAGGATGGAGGGAACACCAACTCAAAGCTGACAAGACATTGAACCACATCATTCTGTAGAGTAGCTAGTTCCACTGGATTGATTGCCTTCTGAGAAATTGCATTGAGGAATGCACATAGCTTCACGGTGGCTAGACGTACATGTGCAGGTAGAATTCCTCTTAAAGCAACTGGAAGCAATTGCATCATAAGCACGTGGCAGTCGTGGGACTTTAAGTTTAGGAATTTCTTATTTGGCACATTTATTATACCCTTTATATTGGAGGAGAATCCCGATGGGACCTTGATGCTGCTTAGACATTCGAACATGCTGTCCCTCTCTTCTTTGCTAAGCGTGTAGCTAGCAGGACTTAAATAATGACGCCCATCATCCGCCTTCTCTGGATGAAGGTTGTCTCGTTCTTTCATGCCCCGCAAGTCTGGCGTGCTTCAAGTGAATCCTTTGGCTTCCCGTACACACCCATGAATCCTAACAGTTCACACAAATATTCTTTGTCGGTGCATCACATCGATTATGTTATGGGACCTCTAGGACTTGCCAATAGGGTAGCTCCTAAAAGATGGACTTCTTCTTCCACATGGGTGCGTGTCCCTTAACATCTTTGGGAACAGATTCACTGCCTTGTCCCTTTCCAAATACTACTTTCACATCCTTGACCATTGCGAGTACATCTTCCCCGGTTCGATTATGAGGCTTCTTTCGGTGGTCTGGCTTACCTTTAAAATGCTTCTCTTTCTTTCTTACTTGGTGATTCAAAGGAAGGAATCGACGATGGCCAAGGTACACGACCTTTCGACATCTTTTCAAATATATACTGTCAAGGTCATCAAAACAATGTGTGCATGCATTATATCCTTTGTTTTCTGACCTGAAAGATTACTTAAAGCAGGCCAATCATTGATTGTTACGAACAACATTGCTTGTAGGTCAAAGTGTTCTTGTTTGTACTCATCCCAGACACGTACACTTGATTTGTTCCATAAAACTAGAAGTTCTTCAACTAATGGCTTCAGATAGACATCAATATCGTTGCCAGGTTGCCTCGGACCTTGGATGAGGATCGGCATTATAATGAACTTCCGCTTCATGCATAACCATGGAGGAAGGTTGTAGATACATAGAGTAACTGGCCAAGTGCTATGACTAGTGCTCTGCTCTCCAAAAGGATTCATACCATCTGTACTTAAGGCGAACCTTAAGTTTCTAGCCTCATTTGCAAACTCTGGAAATTCCTTGTCTATCGCTCTCCACTGGGACCCATCAGCTGGGTGTCTCAGCATATTGTCTATCTTACGGTCTTCTTTATACCACCGCAACAACTTTGCATGGTCTTTATTTCTGAACAAACGTTTTAAGCGTGGTATTATAGGAGCATACCACATAACCTTGGCAGGGATTTTCTTTCTAGGACGTTGTTCACCCTCGACGTCACCAGGATCATCGCGCCTGATCTTATACCGCGATGCTTTACATACCGGGCATTCATCCAAATTCTCGTATTCATTGCCATGGTAGAGGATGCAGTCATTAGGACATGCATGTATCTTCTGGATTTTTAATCCCAAAGGGCAGACAACCTTTTTTGCTTCGTACGTAGTGGTGGGCAATTCATTTGGCTTCGGAAGCATCTTCTTTATGAGGTTCAATAAATTCCCAAATACCTTGTCGGATACACCATTCTTTGCCTTCCACTGTAGCAATTCCAGTGTTGTACCCAGTTTTTTTTGCCCCTCTTCGGCCGTCGGGTATAGCAACTTCCTATGATCCTCAAGCATGCGCTCGAACTTAACTTTCCCTTTTTCACTTTCGCATTCTTGTTGTGCATCACGAATGGCATCGCCAAGAGCATCGCCGAGATCATCTTCTACCGCTACCTCTTCTTCATCTCCCCCCATTGTAGTATCATCAAAGGCACCATACTGATCAATAATGTCATCAATGTCTAAATCTTCTCCTTCACCTTCTTCCATCATGACCCCGCTTTCTCCATGCTTACTCCAACATATATAGTTTGACATGAAACCTGACTTAAGCAAATGTGAATGAAGACTCATTGAGCTTGAATATTCCTTTAAATTCTTACATAGGGCACATGGACAAAGACATGAAACCATCCATGCTTATTTGCCTCGGCACACCTAAGAAATAGTGCAAGCCCTCAATAAAGTCTTGGGAGCGGCGATCGGCATTGTACATCCAATGGCGTGACATAATCAGTATTACCGACAAATTATGAAAACCTTGAACATAATTAAGTATTTTATTACACAACATAGATGACACACACACGGTTGATTAATTAACTAAGCTCTGCTACAACGTAAGCAATCCCAACTATCACTAAACAAACTAAAACTACAATGCACTTCAAGAACATAATTATTTCATGATCGTGCGCAACTAAAAAATGATAAATCATTCTTCCGTTGAATATCAATAAGCTTCTCCTCATTGCTCATCGCCTCATCGGCCAGCAAATTTATTACTGCACGATGTAGCATAATCTTCCTCCTAGTACCAACCATCGCATCCATTGCCCTCCCACTGAAATTAAAGCCAAAAATATTTAGTAAAAAATATTCAAGAAAAGCGATCAATTAGCCATAATAATCAAATGCGTAAGAAACTCACATCGCGATCCGGGCACTTGTAGAAAACACGACCCTTGTTGGGTCCCTGTCTCTTGACTCGGTACTCCATCACAATCTTCTGCTTACACTTGCCGCAGATAATGAGAGGGAGTTCTGGCCTCAGTCGTTTCGCAACCGAACGAGAGGCCGAGGATCTGGTACCAGTTGTCATCTACTTTCTATACTTATTTTTGCAAACTATTGTAAATTTCACATTTTCTAAAATAATATATTTAAACAAAACTAAAATTATTTATTTATCTAACTAAACCGCTCGGTAGAGAACATGCTCGTCGAGATGATCACGGTCCGCAAGTTCAACTAGTACGGATTTTCTATAATTTTCTAACAATTTTCAAAGTTTTTCATTTCATGGAAAAATTAATTCTAAGATCACGTAAGCCGCCGGGCACGAGGATGGCGCGTGCTCCAGCGAGGACGAGCGAGGCGTGATTTTGATGAACTAATTTAACTTTTGTTTATCCAAACATATATGCAAATCATCATCGCAAAATCATAATAAAGTCCAACATATAAAGTTACACATGCATCTACATTGCAAAATGAGATAAGCTACTGATAAAACATAAGAGGATTAAGTTTGTTACCTCCAAAATCGAAGAGCAACACCAATGGAGGGGGAGAGAGCAAGAACAACAGCAAGCTGAAGAACAGAGGCAGTGAGTTTGAATGGAATGGCTCGGACTCGGGGAGAAAGAAATGAGTGTATAGGCCGGCATAATTAGTCCCGGTTAGGTGGTCAAACCGGGACTAAAGATTAATATTTATTCCTGAGGTATCACCCAAAGCGGGACTAAAATCTTTAGTCCCGGCTGGTATTACCAACCGGGACTAAAGATCCCTGCCACGCGGACGACCGTTGGGCAGGGACCTTTAGTCCCGATTGGTATTACGAACCGGGACTAAAGGGTCCTTTAGTCCCGACAGAAAAAAAAATACCGAGACTAAAGTTAAATTGGGATATCGTTTTAAAGTCTATTCTCTGGTAGTGACCGAAGCATCAACTATGATGTCAACGTACGATTAGCGAAGAGCCGAAGACCAAATCAATACAGCATCGATCTAACTAGTCACATGTTGGAACTTTTCACACATGGTTTCGATCGACCAAGTAAACGTAACCCTGTACTATTTTCTCCGTTGCGCTCCAGAGAACGAGATTAGTTCATGCAACTCAGTAACGTCTAAACCATACTGTACGTCGTCGTGCAAGTGCAACACTGCAACACGCTTAGCCCGCGTAGCCGCGTAGCTCGAGCTCCTCTCGTCGTCTTCTACCTTACGCGGGATCGGCAACATTTTCTAATGCAAGTACGATTCTCCCAGACCATTATATATCAGTGTTCGTTAGGAGCTCCTAGCTGCTCTTGTTCACCAACCGCCACTCCAAACTTGGAACCCAGCGCCAAAGCGGAAATCAAACAATGGACATGCCCTTCTTCGTCGCCTTCTCCGCCATCCTCCTCGTCGGCAAGTACCTCCCCTTGGTGCTCCCCTTGAACCTGCGCCCGGCCCTCCTCGCCGACAACGCCGCGAGGCCGCCAGCGCGCGCCGCGAAGTGCGCCATCTCGGTGGCCGTCAGCTGGCTCGCGCTGCTGGTGTCCATGCAGCAGCAGGGCTCCGGCGCCGCCGCCGCCGGCGGCCGCGGCCCGGCGGCGGGAGTGTCAATGATGATGGAAGCGAGGGCGCTGTGGTACAACTCCGCCGCGCTGTTCCTCGGCACGCTGCTCGGCGTCGTCGCGGTGGCACTGCACCCGCCGGCGCCGTTCGTCCAGCAGGTGGCCGTCGATCACCTCACCGTCGTCACGGAGATCGTCGCCATCAACGCGTTCGCGGTCAACCTCTGCGTCTTCTTCAAGATCTTCAAGGTGTAGCTAGCAGTGAGGAACTGAGCGAGGACTGGAAGTGAAAATGACGTACGGCAGCATAGCATTAGAATTCATCACTTTCTTATGCGCAAAAAAAAAAAAAAGAATTCATCATTTTCTAGTTTCTACTCGTTTGTTGTTAGATAGAAGTAAACTTGTAAAGGGTATTTTACATAATGTTCTTTAATATTTACAGTGAAAAATGTTTAGTGTTTTACTTACTATATATATATATATATATATATATATATATATATATATATATATATATATATATATATATATTCTCTCTGATCACTCAAGCAATTTGAGGGAACAAATCACACAAATGGAACGAAAATAAAAATATGAGTGATTGAGGACCTATGGTCACACGAGTAATCCTAAAGGCTAAATCACCCGGAAATCAGAACAAGCTAAATTCATGTGAAACAAACATTAATATCACTCAGATTATGCAACACCTACATCCACCATGAATTGGGACAAAGAAAAACAAGAACAAATAAACATAATAAAAAGAAATTATTACAAATACAAAAACATCAAAAAAATAATCAAAGTACAAAGAACAGAAAATTTCTATGGATTGCAAAAACCAAAAATAATATGAGGACATTGCATGAACCAAACAAATCAAAGAATTAATCCAAAAACCCACATAGTCCATTAAAAATATAAGCTAAACAAATCAAAATAAAAGTACATTCAAACTACATAGGTTCTGAGGACATTGCCTCAATCAAAATAGACCAAAGCAAACATAGTCTATTAAAAATATAAGTTAAACATGTGCCTAATAAACTTCTTTCACTTAGTACTAGTTACATCAATAATACCTAGAAATTACACCTGATCAACCACTATAAGTGTAGTTCAACTCCAGTGTAAGTACAGAATTAATCCAATGTAACATGATAGTAAATTAATTAAGTGTATTTATCAGGTGGGGCCATTCTTTGTTACGGTATACAGATTTTTTCTACTAAATATAATCCAGCTGACATGTGGGACCATGAGTTAGCCACAAAAAACAGCGCAAACGACACATGGAAGAGGGACCACGAGGCGGATGCCGCAGATCGAATAAAGATCAAATCCGGCGGCCAAAAAATTCATGTGATGAGCCAAACGTTTCACATAGGCAAAGGATAGCTTTTGTGATGTTTTAGGGGCATCTAGCACCAAGGTGTTGCATGCCACCAAAACACTCAGATTGGGAAGCCAAACAAAATCGAGTGTTTGTGATGTATGAAACACTCAGATTGTCATGATCGTAGAATCTAGATCAAATGAACCAAACAAAACTTATAAAAATAATAAAAAATATTAAATAAACAAAACAAAAATAGCTAAATTATATATCCTGGGGGAGCCAAATTGGAAGATTTCAAAGGGGAGCCAAATAAAATATACAAAAATTAATAAAAGCTAAACAAAGATCAGATAACTGCCTGAGTAACTATGATCATTCACGTTTACGAACAATCAATTTACATCAATTGGAAACAAAATTTACACTCAAATAGTAATAGTAATGTATAGTCAAATAACATGTAATCGGTAACTAAATGAACAAATTTGAATACTGCACAGCGGCTGTTGCACATGTCACCCCTCTGCGACGCTCGCCGTCGCTTGCGCTGGCCGCAGGGCACCACGTGAGGTGAGCTTGGACGATGATGCGACCCAGCGCTCGTTGGCAGCAAAAGCCGATGGGCCACGCACCATCTTCCACGCTCGCCTCGTGCCCGCGGCCCCACGCACAGGCACAGCCGAACGGGTGCCTCTCTACCGAAACTAACGGAAGGTGCGGACGATCGGATCACGAGTAAGAAAAGATCGGACGTCAAACAAATCGTGTGAAGGAAGCTCTCAAAACACCCGAGCAAACTATAGCTTTTCTGTATATCAATCATTGGAGGTCACTATCGCCTATAGTCCCATGATCCACCAGAACTATACATATACAGTGCACAAAATCCGTCTACCCCATTATCAAAGCGGTTGTTGGCGCCGCGTGTCAATATTTTTTTCTTTTTTGTGACAACAATTTGGCGGCTCAATAGTTTTGTTGGTGGTTTGGTTGGATGATGAGAACGTGTAACGACAGATCATTTATTTCTCGTCTCAATCTAGCTTCCTAGCGCAAAATCTGTAGGCAGAAGAGGCGTGCCGCAGCGCACTCGGCACATTCGCAGTCGCCGAGTGATGACGCGGCCAACCTAACCAGTGACGTGCGGAGCCAAGTGGCAAACAACGTCTGTGGCACGGTTGCTGCGGGCCAGCGTGGCGTTGGTGGACTGGCCGGTCGGAGTCCGGCGAGCGGGTGAGGCACAACCGCACAGGCCACGTGAGCGTCGTTGTTAGTCATTACCGCTGGTAGGAAAGGTTGCGCCGATGGTGAGACTTTGGGAAGAGGACAGTGGAGATGGTTTTGGCATAGAGTTGGAGAAGGTGGTGGCGTCAAAGAAGGTGGTGGAGATGGTTTTGCCTGTTATGGCCTGTTTGGTAGGGCTCTATCTTGACTCCGGCTCTAGCTCCTCTGGAGAAGCCCTACAAAATGTTTTACAGGAGAAGCTGTTTTTCAATGAAAAACAGAGGAGTTGAAGTCGTTTTGAAGGAGCCATCCAGAACGGCTCCGGCTCCTCCGGATGAGCCCCTCACAGAGAGCACTGTCAAACACACCCTTAAATCACGGCTTTACCTTATTATTTAGAGGGCAATGACGTCTAAAACTTTGACCAACTGATTCATTGACCTACCTCCTAGCTACAAATAAGGATTCGCTACTTCTCTCCTTGTCCTCTCATGTATGCAGGGAATTTGGGCCCCATTCTTCTTTCTAGTTATCCTCTATCTCTTAGGTAGCGTTTGGTTGAGAGTCAAGGTGGAGCGGGACGGTCCCATCTATGATTTCTGGGATGGAACGGCTCCACTTGTTGTTTAGCTGAGAAGGGACGAGACCGACCCGTTTTGTATTTGGTTCAGAGACTTCAAAACTTTGATCTTGCTTTCTTCTTGGCAAATCTACCAGCACATATCTGCATCTAGTAAGAAGGTATGGCCCCACTTGATAATGCACTTAATTAATTTACTATCATGTTACTATGAATTAATTTTGTATTTACACTTAACCCTGCCGTTCGGTTCTACCGAACCGAACCGATCGGTTCTTCAGTTTTTGAAGAAGTTCGGTTCTCAGAAAATCAGTACCGATCGGTTCTTCAAAAAGCATGGAACCGACCAAATTCGGTATCGGTTCTTTCGGTTCGGTTCCGAGTAGAACCGAAAAACCGAACAGACACAGCGCAGGGGCAGCAGGGCAGGGCGGCACCACGGCAGGCAGGGGCGCAGGGCCCTAGGGCGGACGCGCCCGCAGGCGTAGCAGGGCAGGGTGGCACCACGGTAGGCAGGGGCGCAGGGCCGCAGGGCGGACGTGCCGAGCCGCCGGTAGGGTGCGCAGGAGGGCGTGCCGGGCCGCCGGGGCAGCCGCGCGCGGCGGCGGCACGGGTGGCCGGGTGGGGATGCGGCGCAGGACTGGGGAGGCCGAGAGGGCGCGCCGGGAGGATGCAGGGGGGCGCCGGAAGGGCGCGCCGGCCGTCGGGGTAGGCGCGCGTGGTGGCGGCGCGGGTGGGGATGCGGCGTGGGTGAGGAGGCCGGGAGGTCTCGGGGTGGAGACTGGAGTGGCTACTGGCTAGGGTTACTCGCTCAGTCGCTCGGGGTCAAGGCGTCAAGCAGACAAGCAGTAGTTCAAGCTGGGCCTTACTTGGCCTCCGGTTCTTCGGTTATTTCGGTTAACCGAGGGGAGGAACCGATTTAACCAAACAAAGTTCGGTTCCTAAAAACTGAGAACCGAACAGGTAACTGAAATTTCGGTTCTCGGTTAGTTCGGTTCGGTTCTCGGTAAAATTTGCCCAGGGCTATTTACACTAGACTTCAACTAAACTTACACTGGTTAATTAGGTGTAATTGTTAGTTATTAGAGAGAATTCTGTATTTGGCACCGAAACAAATCACTCTTCTGTATTTGACGCTGAAAATTTTAAACTTTCTTATCTAGCATCAACTTGAAAATTCCTCGTATATGGCACTGCCGTCCATTTCAGGCATCCCACCGTTAGTTGACTAGGAAGACCATGGCAGCTTTTCATTAGAAGTACCAAAATGCTTTGTCCGTGGACATGGCGCTCCCACTTCGGGTGACTCTGTTCGTCCAATTTCTCGAGGCAGAGTCATCCCGAATCTACCTGGAATATACTCTAGTGAGATCATCCCACTTCTTCCTGGCTCTGAACCAAACAGTTTGAAAAGTGGGATCACCCCACCCCATTCCACTAACCAAACACCACCTTATTACATGCCTATATATGTGACTGATGTATCGTGACAAAATGGTTTAAAGTAGGGAACTTAGGCCAACTATCGGAGCACAATGGACACTAGGGGATAGCATGTAGATAAAGGTCCCGTTCGCTTGGCTGATAAGCCATGATTGAAAGTACTATTGGTTGATTTGTTGTGAGAGAAAAACACTGTTTCGGCTGAAAAATAAGCTGAAAAATACGGATTATAAGACAAGCGAACAGGGCCAAAGAATTGTCTATTAAAGGGAATAAGAACCCGAAATAGAGTCCGGTTGGAGCTGACATGCATTTTTAGCAAAATCGAGTTTCCTTGACGTGCACAATTTTGCTAGATGGGACTTCTTTCAACTGATCCTTTCACCGATGATCTAACAGAACGTACTTCGCTAGTTCGCTGTCACTCTCGCCCTTCCGGCAGCCTAGCGCGAATCGCAATGACATGGACTATTGGACACTTGGTGCTTGTTTACTGCACATACGAGGAGCCAAGTCGTAGGTGAGAAATGCCACAGAAGCAGCAGAAACCTAGCGTGGCCGCGTTTCGGTTTCGGCGGCCCGAAACTTACGGCAGCGGAGCAACAACGACAACCTGCGTCCACGCGGCCAAAACACCGTCGAACCCCACGCTGCGAGCGAGAC